CCAGAGGAGAATAGATGAATGAGAGAACAAAATGCTAACAGGGTAACAACATCCCCAGAAAAATACACACTAAATAAATCAGAAGAGACCTGAAACCGGGGGAAAAGAAAGGGAAAGAAAGAAAAAAGAAAAAGGTAAAAACAAACAACAAAAAAACCAGAATATGATCAAATATGATCAGGCTGGTGCATAGATCAGTGCCACACACCAGATTTTGGGCTTATTTTGGTCTGTTAGGAGAAAGTGCCTCCCAAAATTTTAAAGAAAGAAAAACTTATATATGTACAAAATGAGGGTTAATACAATGGGAAGGTATGGAATATGACTGTAAAGATGAAAATTATAAAAAATTTTGTAAAAGGAATTGATAAGAAGTTGGTTGAAAAAATGATTTAAAAAAAAGAATGTGATGAGGCAGGAGACTAGAACAAAGCCATACACTAGAGATTTAGGGTATATTTTGGTCTGTTAGAAGAAACTGTATCCCCAAATTTTAAAGAGAGAACAACTTATATATATATATATAACAAAAATAAGGTTAACTACTATGAAGGGATAGAATTTGACTCTAAAAATGAAAAATAAAAAGGGATCGTTAAGATGTTTGAAAAAGGGAAGAAGAAAAATTCAAAAAAGAAAAAGTTAAAAAAAATTAACTTTGAAAGACTAAAGAATCATGGGAAAAAAAGCCATGAATTCTATGTGCGGTATTCCCCTAGTGCTGGAGTTCTGCCATTCTCATTGTTGGGTAAACTTGGTCTTGGCAGGCTATTCTTGCTGATCCTCTGGGGGAGGGGCCTGTTGCCGTGGTTCCCAAATGTCTTTGCGGGAGGCAGAATTGGACCGTCCTTGCTGGTCCGGGCTAAGTAATCTGGTCGGGTTTGCCCTCCGGAGCTTTTGTTCCCTGCAAGCTTTCCGTAGAGTGAAATAGCGGCCTCCCAGTCTTCACTGGGGAGGAGCCGAGAACTCGGGGCTCCACTCCTCAGTGAGCCCCAGCGAAAAGCAGTCAGTCACTCCCGCCTCCCTGGTCTCCAGCCCACCCCGTGCTCACCCAGCCTGTGACCGAGCATTTCTATCTCTGGCACCTGACCCTGTGGAGTCTCCAAACCCAGCAGACCCCTGCAGTGCAGTCCCGCGCCGCTCCTTCCGGGGGAGGAACGGGAGTCTCCCTGGATCTGCCGCTTGTTGGGTCCCTGCTGGAGGAGCAGTGGCCCAACTGTGCCGCGGATCACGGATTATGGCAACCCCGAGCTGCGAGCCCAGGCCTCCTGCAGCCGGCTTCCCCGCTCCGTTAGCTGGGAGCTCTGTTGCACTCAGGCACCCCTGGTCTTTCTGTTACCCTGAGGGTCCTGAGACCCCACTGTCCCAGCATGTGTTCCAGCCCCTGCTTAGCCACCGGAGTGACGTCCCTCAGTGGAGCAGATTTCTAAAAGTTCCGATTTTGTGCTTGGCTGCTCTATCACTTGCCAGTAGCGGCTAACGGAGGCCCCCTCCCCCATCATCTATCTTCCCGAATGTCGCCTTGGGTTCGCTTCTCCACACATCCTACCTTCCAGAAAGTGGTCGCTTTTCTGTCCAGAGAGTTGCTGCTATTTTCTTTCATCTCCTGTTGAGTTCGTAGGTGTTCAGAATGGTTTGATCCCTATCTGGCTGAATTCCTGGGACCAGACATAATTTAGATCTCCTACTCCTCTGCCATCTTGCTCCTCCCCCTCCAAAATCCAGTGACTCTTAATAAGTATGTAGTTTTCTTTTATATTCAGTAGTTTATCACAACAGGTATAATTGCCTCTCCTTATTTTAACCATGTGTATTTTTGCAAAGAGCTTATATTTAAAAATAGCAATTTATCGTATTTGCTGTCAAGGATAGAGGATACTATTGATAATTGGGACAATTCTTTAAAAGTATTTCTAACATTCCTGAGAGCTTTAGTAGACTTTTCTCTTGGAAGGTACACTGTGAATATTCAATATATAAAACTTTCCCAAGCCTGTAAGATTTTGTGTCTTTAGGGGAGAGAAATAGTTTTAAAGAAGATTGCATTATGTCCTTGTCATGCCATCTAGTGATCACAGGACAAATTGTTTAGTTTTTTAAATTTAGCTTCTTTATTGTGTTTTACTCTATGCAGTCACAATATATCTGCTAGTATGTAATTCCAGAATAATACCAATTTGATGTGTGTGATTCTGGGACTTACCAGTTTTATCTGTTTGTTCAAGAGGTACGTGTGTGTTACAGCAATTTAATGGGATTTTAAGTATTTTTATCATGGTTTGAGATTTATCATAGCAATTTTTTAATTTGTAATTTAATTACTCTTGTTTTAGAATTTATTTCGAGTTTATTTTAACTTAAAGTATAAAATACAGTCGCATTAATTATAACTATAAATTATTCCTCCTTGATAGGTGTTAAAAAAGATATTGAGAAGCTTTATGAAGCTGTACCACAGCTTGGTAATCTGTTTAAGATTAAGGACAAAATTGGAGAAGGTAATTTAGAGATAACTTTATAAGTTTCTTTTCCTTGTATTTTCCTTTGTATAATCTTGATTTTCATTACTATTTTCTATTGAAAAGTATATCCTTTCTAAAATATTAAGACCATGGTCATTTTACTAATTATGACATCAGGTTTTCTTTTTCCCCTGGAAAGAGTGAAAGAATAAGTATTTACAGTAAAATGAACAGTGCTGTTATACCATTAAAAGTATTGATATACTAATATACCATTAATAATTATTAAGAATGAGAAATTGTAAATTCTTATGGAGGAATTTGATCAAGGGAAGTCAGGAAGTCCGCTCCTTTTCCTTTCTCCATTATAGTTAGGTAGAACTGTACATTGAAACATGTATGAAACCTAAGGTGGCAAAATAGATGAAAAGAAAGTGGTATGATATTTATAAAATAGTCAGTATTGGGGTGCCTGGGTGGCTCAGTTGGTTAAGTGTCCGGCTCTTGGTTTCAGCTCAGGTCACGATCTCAGGGTTGAAGGATTGAGCCCTACATCGGGCTCCACGCTCAGTGGGGAGTCTGCTTGAGATTCTCTTTTTTCCTCTCCCCACCCCAAATAAGTAAATTTTTTAAAAAAAGATGGTTTGTGTTAACATAAATGTCATTGAGAGACTGGCAATCTTGTTGACTGAATGAAGGGTGAATTTATCAATTGTGAAGTGAATGGGAAGGTAAAAGATAATAGAAATTTTTGGTGGCTATATTGGGAAATGCCTAAATAGTTAAAAAACCTTCCACTTCCTTCATTGTTTGCTTTTTACAATGAAAAGCGTCAGACAAGAAAAGGCTGGGTCATTGGGGGCAGAAGAATTAGAAGATGAGATGATTTGGGATGTAAGATCTTTCCATCTTTTCCTTACCTTTTTTGTTTTTTAAGAAATTTTTTAAAAAGATTTTATTTATTTCAGAGAGAAAGAGCATGATCAGGGCAGAGGGGTAGAGGGAGAGGGAGAAGAAACTCCCTGCTGAGCAGGGTGCAGGACTGAATCCCAGTGTGTTCTGACTTAGTGTTCAAAACTCTGTTCTGGAATCCACTGGTGTCCTCCTAACAAATTGATAGCTATTCTTGGAGGGGGGAAGGAGGAGGAGGGTGTTCTATGGCTAAATAAATTGGAAAATGTAGTAGGTATAGCTCCCTTTTGGTTATTCGTGATGTACTTAAAACACGTTAAAGCTCTGGAAAATTTTGTAGTAGAGAAATTTATCAATTTGTTTTAACTCAGTATTTCTCAAATTTAACTGGCCACTCTTTTATGTTTTCTGTTTAGTTTAATGCTGAATTTAAAAGCCTAGGTGTTTTTGTAGGGGTTTTTTTCCCTGAAGACTATTAACATTTATGCTTCTAACAGACCTGTATCCAAGTCGTAAGAAAGTAATTTCAAATGACAGTATTATAGAAAAATACTTATTAGAATGGATTGTGACCATGGAAAAATTTTATTTTAACCCAGGCAAATAGATTTGCTGTAGAGCTTTGGTAAATTAATATACCCTTTAAAGAACTGAGAACAGTTAAGAATTTATTAAAAATTGAAAGTTCTATTTATAAATGTTACTCTTTATGTTTAATATCATTAACTATATTAATGATTAGAATAATTTTATGGATTCTAAACAGTTTTTAGGTTCTATTTTAGCATTGTTTCATTGACATTTTTAAAAACCAAATATTGAAAAATCTAATAAATTGTTTTACAGGTACTTTTAGCTCTGTTTATTTGGCCACAGCACAGTTACAAGTAGGACCCGAAGAGAAAATTGCTCTAAAACACTTAATTCCAACAAGTCATCCTATAAGAATTGCAGCTGAACTTCAGTGCCTAACAGTGGCTGGGTAGGTAATTTAAAGATACTTTAATTGAACTGGCTGTGTATAATTTTTAAGATTTTCTTAAGGTATATCTAACAGGGATGATGAGGTTATCCATGAATTAAACATTTTTTAGTCAGGTGTTTGCAGTTTGGTAGCATTTTTCCTCTAACGTTGGGATGGTTAATTAAATTTATATTTTTAGAGTGGATTACCCTTGAGGCTCAGCTTGACTTCTTGTTCTCTTCCCACTTTTTCTAATCTTCCTGCCAAATCCTAAACCGTGATCTAGATATTTTTTAAAATGTAGGGAATTCATATTTCATATCTCCTCAGCTATTGACAGCCTCATTTCATACTTTAATTTTGAACAACAGAAACATCTGCCATGTCTTTCTTATTGGTCTCTCTCTTCTAGGTCATTCCTGTCAACTAAGGTACATGATCTAGTATCTCTTATGCCCCTGTATTGCCATCCCTCTTCCAGCTGCTCCGTCAAGTCTTCGCTGCCCTTCCCAGCCAGACTTCCCAAAAATGATCTACATATACTGTTTTCACTTTCACACCCTACCTTCACTACTCATAGTGTCTGCTGTTCTCTGTGCTAAACCGAAGCTACTTTAGATAGAGTCAACCATGACTTCTGTTTTGCCAGTTTTCTTTTTCCATTCATATGAACATAGGCAGTGTATAACATCATTGATTTGAACCATTGTCTTTTGACTTCGGTACTGCCACACACTCCTTGTTTTCTTTCTGCTTTATTTCGCTTTTCATTTTCAGTATCCTTTGGCCAGTTCTTCCTCTTCTACCTGACGTCTAAATATTGGAGTGCCTGATCTTGGGCTTTCTTGCTCCGGACTCTTCTGTAGGTAGTATTTACTTCCATGTGGTTTTCAGTGTATGGTAAGGATTCCCATAAGTATGTATCTTGCCTCAGACCTCTTACTTGCAGATTTGTATATACCCACCTGCTGATTTGACATACCCACTTGAGCACCTAATAAATATCTCAAACATATTCTGTAAACTAAATTTTAGTACTCCTTTGCCTGCCCAAAAACCCCTATTGCAACAGCCTGTTTTATCTGCTCATCTTGGCATCCATCATCAGGTCTTGGCCATTTTACTGCCAAAATATATCTAAAACTCCATGTTTTTCTGTCTTCTCAACCACTACTTCAGACTGAGCCTAGATTGCTAAACTAGGCTGCTGCTTCTCTTTCTCCCTGAATCCCATTGTTACAAAACAGCCAGAGTGATTTTTAAAGTATAAAAATTTGTGTGTGTGTGTGTGTGTATATATATAATGTAAATTGTATACTATTAGTTCCATCCCTTAAAATCCTTCAGTGGTTTCCCAGTGTCCTTTGGGGGAAAAAAAAAATCCAGCCTTATCAATACCACTCTCAGTACCACTCTTCCTATCTCCCTCTCTCTGTGCTCTAATTTCTTTAGTTCCTCAGATTTGTCTCAAGCTTTCTCATCTTAGTGTCACTACCCATACTGTTCCCCAGTGAGACCTCTCCCAGTCTTTGCATGCTGACCACTCTTCTTTCTCATCTGAGCAAGAGTGGCACCACTTCAAAGATGTCTTCTGAGGGGCACCCAGGTGGCTCAGTTAAGCGTCTGACTCTTGATTTCACCTCGGGTCATGATCTCAGGGTCCTGAGTTCAGGCCTCGAGTCGGGCTCCACTCCAGGCCTGGAGCCTACTTAAAAACAAACAAAAACAAAGATGTCTTCTGAATTAGATTAGATTCACTTATTTGTTATTTTCACAGCACCTTTTGATCTCTTTCAAAACCCTTGTAATCTGTCATATGTTATTTTATTATGTTATTGCTCATTAGATAATAAACTCCATGAGGGCAGAAATCATGTTAATTTTAATTCACCTTCCCTTTCCTAATATCTAACATAATGTCTGCCACATAACTGTGCCCACTGAATATTTATTGGATGAATGGACAAGTCTATTTCTTCGTTTCACTCCCCTGTTTATTAGAGAAGACAAGACGATGAGATGGCCTCTCTAAGGCAGAATTACATACGTTCTAGTCACTTGGATAAAATTGTTACTTTTTCCATATTTTAAATATTTTCTCTACCATTTTTCCTTTCCATATACTTCAAAAAAGTGCATGCTAAAAAAAAAAAAAAAAATCTTTGTCTGATCTTGCTTCCTTTCTAGCTCCCACACTGGTTTTTCTTCCTTGCCAGATATTTCAGGCAAATTGAGTGTTCTGCTTCCATTGTATCCTGTTTTCCGTCCTTAAGTCCTGTTTGGCCTCTTCCTTTCCACTTAAATTGCTTTCTGAAAAATTACCAGTTAATTCCTCTTTGCCAAACTAAAAGACTTCCCTCAGTCCTTATTCTCATGACCTTCATACTGATTACTACCTTCCTTTAAAACTCATCATTTGGGTGACATCCCTTTCTGGGCTTTCTGCCTCTTCTTTCTTATTTTGCCCTCCAACTTGAGACTTTTCCAAAACTCAAGTTTTCTCTCAAATCATTTTCAGTCCTTTAGGTATCACTTCTCAAGTACTGTCACTGACCTCTCACTTCTCACATAAGATGTAATTTTGTATCTAGAAATTTTTATCAAAATGTCTTATTTTTCAATGCTTCTTTTCCTGATTTCTCCACATATTTTGTTGGTATCCATGTTGTTTTACTAATTGGGCTCAAAACTATGGAAGTCAGCTTTACCCTGTTTTCTTCATCTTTTATGATGCAGTATAGCATAGCAGTTTAGAGCACAGATCTAGAGCAGACTATCCAGATTCAAATCCTGTCTCCATGACTTAGTAGCTTAGTGTCTTTGGGAACATTCTTGAACCTCTCTGTGCCTCAATTTCCTTATCTGTACAAAAGGGGGAGGAAATAATGGCATTGTCCTGATAGAGCTGTTGTGAGGATTAAGTGAATTAGTTAATAAATGTAAAGTGCTTACTTAGATCAAAGCTTGGCATATAGCGAATGCTCAATAAATGTTAGCTGTTATTTTTTAATTAACTTATTTATTATTATTTTATTGGCTACTAAGGCTTGTTAATTCATTCTTGTTATTCATGTTGTCTTTCTCATTCTGTCATTTCCCCAATTTAAAACTATAATTATTTCATGTTTGAATTATTATAGTAACCTCATAACTGGTGCTGCTTTCTTTTTTAAACTTTATCGTGTACAGGTCAAACATGTATACTATCCTACAAGTTGGCTTTAAGTAGTTTTCTAGCATTATTTATGCATTGCTAAAACTTCATTTTTAAAGAAACTGAGCACAAAATTTCAATTCATTTGACCTTTCCTCTAAAGTTCATTATGCATTTTTCCACTAGGGGGCAAGACAATGTCATGGGAGTTAAATACTGCTTTAGGAAAAATGATCATGTGGTTATTGCTATGCCCTATCTGGAGCATGAGTCCTTTTTGGTAGGTGTTAATACTTCCTGAATTTTTATTGGCTAAATAATTGAAAACAATTTTATGACCTTATTCATAATTTTATTTTAGGACATTTTGAATTCTCTTTCCTTTCAAGAAGTACGGGAATATATGTTTAATCTGTTCAAAGCTTTGAAACGCATTCATCAGTTTGGTATTGTTCACCGTGATGTTAAACCCAGCAATTTTTTATATAATAGGCGCCTGAAAAAGTAAGTATGAAAAATTACCAGAATATAACTACACTTGAAAGAATTTGTGCTATGGGGTTCATCTCGGAGATACAGAACATTCTGCAACAGCCATGCACAGATTTTTGTTTGTTTCAAATTTTCATTGTGGTTGGGGAACGGAAATACAGTGAAACAAAAGATAAAATTTTATTGGTAAAGCAGTGTACATCATTAGATATACCATGGTTCAGTGGAAATAGCACTTAGCTAAAAGAAACTTAGAAAAGGTCTAGGCCTTTTTGACCTTCACATTGCTTTTATCTCTGGGCTTCATTTTCCTTTTCTAGTAAAGGAGAGGATTGCCCACATGATAGCCAATTTCCTGTTTCAACACTAAAGTTGTGTTTTTATGTATATTTATATTGTATATGTTTATATATGTGTGTTTTTTATACGGATAGAGGCATTGTAAGCTGAAAACCTAACTTTAATACTGTTCAGTATACAATCGGTCACACTGAGGATGGTAGGGAGTATAGAATTATAACTTCTTTTCTTGAATTTTATACTTCTGACTTGTCCTTTAATTTTCTTTAAATCAAATTTTAAACCCATGATTTTAATTAAATTTTTTAAGCTTGTTTAATTAAAAATTATCTACTGTGATGCCATCTCTGCCATTGTAAGAGAACAAAGGATTGGGCTTCTATCCTGCAGTCCTTGTCTGCCTTGTTAGCACAGGCCATTGGAGAAAGGGCAGAAAGATTTTTGTGTATGTATGGGATGTATCATTTTTTAATTTTCAAGCCTAGTTAGCTACTAAATCATTACCTTGTCTATAAACTCATTTTTCTTGTCTTTTTTCAAGAATGTTATAAATTCTTAATTGATCCCGTAAAGAATTAACTTTTGTATGAATATGACTTGAGCATATTATGTTATTAAGCTTTAGTTGTTACAAAGAAGTAAAAATGCTTACTTTTGTCTGTCTTAGGTATGCATTGGTAGACTTTGGTTTGGCCCAAGGAACCCATGATACGAAAATAGAGCTTCTCAAATTTGTCCAGTCTGAAACTCAGCAGGAAAGTTGTTCACAAAATAAATCCCATGTAATCACAGGAAACAAGATTTCATTGAGTGGCCCAGCAGCACCTAAGGAGTTGGATCAGCAGCCCACCATGAAAACTTCTGTTAAAAGGCCCTACGCAAATGCACAAAGTCAGATTAAACAAGGAAAAGATGGAAAGGTTTCTACCTCTTTTATTTCTTAAATACTAATAAGGTTTTAGAAATGTACTTCCTCATCCAACAGAGGGAGATATAATACCAGGATAATACTTGCAATTAAAAAAATTATTTTTACATTTGTTACATATCAAATGGATTAGATTCCACTAAGATTTATAATGGATTGTTTTACCATTTCAAAACTGAAATTACTTGGTAGATTTATAATGTCTCTGTCATTACGTTATGTAACAAATATGGAAAATAACAAATTTTCCCTGCATGTTCTAAAGTTCAGATTAATTATCCTTTTTAAAAGAAAACATTAGTTACAGGGGAAAAATTCTGAAGTGTCTATCTCCATTTTAGCTGCACAGCAAAAATGTAACATCCATGCAGGTGGTTTTTAAATTCTTTAGTTATATATTATTTGTGGATTATGATTAACATTGTATGGGTGTTAAGAGTTCTGTCTAGACTATTCTCTCCTTTCACAGAAGTGTTTTGGTGCCTGAGAATGACTTGGATGCAGCTGTTTTTGTTTCATGTCACTTAACTCTTTCAAAACTGGCAGAGTACGGCTGGCAGAAAGTGTTACAGATATAATCCTTATTTTCCTTGTTTTTGTTGGTATTGTAGGAGGGATCTGTAGGCCTTTCTGTCCAGCGCTCTGTTTTTGGAGAAAGAAATTTCAATATACACAGCTCCATTTCACATGAGAGCCCTGCAGTGAAAGTAAGTAATGTAGCTTAATAGTGCAATCATCAGTCAGTCGTACACTGAAGAGAATTTAGGGATTGGTAGACTAGTATTTATTATCGCTAAGTTTTTAAAAGTAGAGTTTTGCTGTGGCACACAGTATTAACTGCTTTGAGCATCTTGTCAACAATTTTCTCCAGTTTTTTTTCCTGAACTTTTCTGGTGGAATTTTTCATCATTTTTGGTTAGCTGACTGTTGTTGCTCTTTTCTAAAGGAACATTTAGAACATTAAGGCCTTTTCTCTCATTGGCTAGAATGTGAGCTCCCAATAACTAACACATTTCTGACACATGGGTGATAGTGTAAAGATGTTTGTAACGTTTATGAAATTGTAATCAATGTTAAATGGTTTTAAATTGACAGGATATCCTGTAACAGCTAGATAGCATGAGCAACAAATTAAAACTCTGATTTTAGCCAATGTAATTGTGCAGTTTACAGTTCTGAAATGGAGTTAGACACTAGAACGTAACTATGTTATACTTCCGTAACATAAATCAGGAAAAGTTCTGATAAAGTGTAAGTCAAGTATTTACCAATTGAGGACTATTTAGTAAATTTTAAAATGTTTATTCAACAGGAAAACCTAAAAAGATCTTAAATAATAGACAACTGTTTACTTAAAATCCAGCAGCACATTCGGCAGTTTTAAAAGTTATGTTTCTACTGTTAACGTTTTGCCATACTAGCATTTGAAGGTATCATGTTAAATATCATGAAAATAGGAAATATGACTTTTCTTTTACAGCTTATGAAGCAGTCAAAGACTGGGGATGTACTATCTAGAAAGTTAGCAACAAAAAAGAAGGCTATTTCTACAAAAGTTATGAATAGTGGTGTGATGAGGAAAACTGCCAGTTCTTGCCCAGCTAGCCTGACCTGTGACTGTTATGCAACAGATAAAGTTTGCAGTATTTGCCTTTCAAGGTAATGTGTTTTGATGGTGCTATAAAATCACCAGCATGCTGCCAGACAAGATTAGAAATTGCATTGATTTTGGTGGGTAATTGATTTAGTGTGAGGAAAGAAACAACACAGATGCTGATGTCGGGAGAGGTACCTTGAAGAGCATATGATAACTATTGTCATGTATTGTTCATTTGACATTTATATGCTCTTTGAAAAACACATTTGCTCTTATATGCAAATAATTTTGGTGGGGGTAGGGGTAGTTTTTTTGGAACCTTAGAATCACACATTTTGTTTTCTGATTTAATCTTTTCTTTCTTTATTCCCACCTATGTGGAATAACCAGAACCAAATAATAGTGTCTCTCTAAATCCCACTTCCTACTCTTAGCCCCATAAATTCCTCCCTTTCTTTCAAAAGTTGCATGAGCTTTCATGAACCTCTCCTAACCCAAATATATGAGAATAAGTATATCAGAAACTAACTTCGTGATATCACTCCAAACAGACATGAATTTTTATACCTCTGAATTCTGTTGTATTCAATTCTGTTGTATTACATTTTTCTGTTAGGGTCCTTATCATCTACTACCTATTTTTATACCTGGAAGTTACCTTAAAATTTTTCTGGAATAAGGCCTGGTTATATGTGGGGTAGAGGGGGGAGGGACCAGTAGAAACAAAATCTAGGATTTTCATCACACTGGATTATCATTTGCTTTATAAATAACATTTATATAGATATCAAGACAGAATTTACTGTGAAATAGATCAATAAATGTTACTTTTTGGTTTTAAATAAACTTTAACATAACTAGAAAAATCTTATTTCATCATCATAAGGCGGCAACAGGTAGCCCCTAGGGCAGGTACACCGGGATTCAGAGCACCAGAGGTTTTGACAAAGTGCCCCAATCAAACTACAGGTATGTTGCACTACAAATACAGAACTCAATTAGAATTGGTTATCCCAGGTATATTTTATTTTATGATCTTTATGTTTTACTAATATTAGTGTTTTTCTGCTTTTAATAAATTATATAAGTGGTTGTAGCAGTATGGCAGTCCCATTTTTGAGATCATGCTATTAATGAAAATTTCTACTCCTAGTGTTGCTTTTTTTTTTTTTAACAAATTTTTTCGTGTAGATTACATCTTGCTTATCTATTTACAAGATGATTTTTGCCAGGAATTTTGTTTTGGAAGAAAAAAAAATTGTGTTTAGTAGTCTTTGCTAACTTGAGACTTGGCAGCTTTTTATCTGTTTGCCCAATACCCCAAAAGTCTTCTGTGATGCACTTGTGTGTTTGATTAAAATTATTTTTTGTTACTGTGAAAATAATACAGTAGCATTCAAGAGTTTTAAAAAAGGAAAAGGTTTATAATCTACAAAAGTTATCATGAAGCCAAAACCCAGGAAAGGTCTTGAGTAAATGAATCCTACCATTCGCTTGGATTATGGACTTCAAAGAAATACATTCACCCATTGTGTATATTCTAACTTGCTAATGATACAAAAAAATGAATGAAAGTATCTGCATACTGTCCAAATAATAAAAACCTGTGGAGGATGGTTATAAATCTTTACACAAGGTATTTTAGAGATACCTAACTATTCTTACCTGAAGGGAATATGGAAGGAAATTTACAGAAGAGGGAACCTCTGAGAAGAGATGTAAATTGGAGTGAGTGGTTGGCATTGATAAATGAGCAGAGGATCTCAAGAAACAGAATGGTCTAGTCATATAGGAAACAGTAAGTTTAGTGTTGCTAGAATGTAAGATGGAAGTGAAGGAATGGTGAGAAATAAACCTGGTAATAGGTAGACAAGTCAAATCACACATGTTAAACAGCTTGGACTGTATCCTCTAAGTGTTGGAAAGTTATTCAAGGGAAAGACATGGTATTAATTATGTTCTAACTGGATCATTCTGGCAGGTATACAGAGCGGATAGGTTTTGGAGAGTGGTGGCTTACAGTGGTCCAAGTGAGAGATGCTGAAAGCCTGAATGAGGGCATCATTAATAGGAATGAAAAGAGAGGTGAAGGATTGGAAAGGTAGCACTTGGTTGATAATTGGGTGTGGGATTTGGGTTTGGGGTGGTGAAGGAAAAGGCACCCAGGAGTTTATCAGATTTCTAGCTTAGGGGACTTGAATGGGTGTCATTCACAAAGGTGGAGAATAAATAACTGGTTTACAAGGAAAGATAAGGTGGATTGGGGCATAATTGGCTTGAGATATTTGTGAGACACAGAGATGTCCAACAGAATAAAAGTCAAGCTCAGGGAAGTCTGGGCTGGAAATACAGTTGAATGTCATCAGTACAGAAAAGATCGTTAAAGCCATGAGGTAGATGGATCCAATCAGGGAGAGTATACAGGGGAAGAAGAGGGTGGAACTCTGGGGAACCTCAGCCTTAAGGCTTGGAGAGAATGTCGAAGGAGGAAGCAGATGTACAGAGGGAACGAAGAAAGGCAGGTGATACAAATCCAAGGGAATAGAGAGCAAATAACTTGGACTTACTAGGAGGTCAACAATTAGGAGAGAGGATGTCCCTAAAAGAAAAAAATAGTTTCTTAACGTGAGCCTGGGCTGGTCTTAATGTTAACTGCCAGAATTCTAGAGATTAAAAGTTTCTATAGCAGAAGTTAGGGTTAGCACCTGGCTGAAGAAAAGCTTCTGATGTTCAGTACTTTTCACTAAAATAAACCACTTTCACTATGGTGGGTAATTCTTGAGGAGCATCCAGATTTTTCCCACATAGCTATTTTTGGATTTCTTTTGATCTTATAAAATACATATCTACTTACTGTTTTCTAATGATGAAATATCCTTTAAACTTACTAACATGTTGCTTAAGAAAGAAGACATTGTATTTTGTATTAAGAATGTTGGACCAGGGTTTCTCAGTCCTGATATCACACTATAGCATCTGAGGAACTTAAAAAAAATACTGATGCCTGAGCCATACTCCAGAACAATTAAGTCAGAATCTCTGAGGGAGTGGGCCTGGGCATCAGAATTTTTGTAAGGCTCAAGATAATTTGCACAGCAAAAGTTGAGAACTATGGATGTAACATTGATATAAACTGACTATCGGTGATAAAATTACAGATTTGGGATTTTTTTTTAAAGTTTGTTTTCTGTTACAGCAATTGACATGTGGTCTGCAGGTGTCATATTCCTCTCTTTGCTTAGTGGGCGATACCCATTTTATAAAGCAAGTGATGATTTAACTGCTTTGGCTCAAATTATGACAATTCGTGGATCCAGGGAAACTATCCAAGCTGCTAAAACTTTTGGTAAGCAGTTTTATTTCCTAGAACAAAACAAATGCCTTTATTATCTCCTATAAATCAAATTATTATGAAATTCTCTTTGCAAATAAACATATTCTGTGTTTGTAAAATTCTGATGTTAGGTACAAAATTTCTCTGTTGCTCTAAAATTAATTGCATTGTGTAAGAAAATAATTTATCACTTTTCTTCTATATAATCATTTAATCTTACCAAGCACAAAGTGCTATTTAAATATTTAAAATTCAACTTTATAATCTTAAAAGAATAAGGAATAACTCCCTGTAGTTATCGTTTGACTTTATTATATAAATATTTTTAATAGTATGTTTTAAATTGTTATATTTATTAAGTATCAGGTGTTCTTGGGCCTGCCTTAAGTGATCTTAGACTGTACTAACAATAAACAGTTAATTATGATACAGCATAATAAGGACTATTGTAGGGAAGATAATAAAATGTGTGTTAGTTGTTAGGTTCCTTAGGGTTAGGGTAGCAAAGAGGAGAAATGAGCAGAACACCTTTGCTGATGGAGTTATTATTGTAAGCATATATTGGACATGGGAAATCATCTCCTAAGCTATCCAAGTTCTTATACTTCCAAGACTGGGATATGCAGTGTACTTCACAGGGCACCTGAGAATTATCTCAGCCTTGTTCTGGCCAGTGACTTGAAATCAAATGCTCACCTTGTATTTATTCTCCACGTACAATTATAGTTAATGTTTTCCAAAGTGGGTGGCTGTGATTGAGTCAGCATGCTACCACATGATATAGAACACCTGTGTGGGACAAAATTTCAGGCAGCCCACTTCAAAAGTAGCTGGGCTGCTTTGTGCCCAGCCCCAGGATCAGTGGGTCTTCCATCAGGGGTCCAGATCAAAATTATCTGAGGAACTTAAAAAAATACATATGCTTTCTCACCCCACTCCTTCCTGGAAAATAAGATTCAGAAAAATATGATAGATAGGAAGGTCCAGGCTTGTTTGAAAAAACAAGTGATTTTGACCAAGAACAACTTCTAAGAACCACTGCAAAAGTGATTGCCCCTTATTTAGACACCACTGCTACGGTCTAATCCCATCAGAAAAACTTGGTGGTGGTTGTGAAGAAAGCTTTGTGATAGAGGCTTACCAAAAAGTGTTTCTGCAGCAAAGTCAGTCCACAACTTGTAGCTTTCTTGCACCTACTATAAGAAAATTTTACCTGAGGTAATACGGTGAAATAGTACACACATACAAAGGGAAAGTGACAATAAATGGAAGCCAAGATTGAGATCTTGGAAATTATATTCCTAGACATTCTTACACATATTTATTCTCAACTGATTGAGAAAACTTTTCATCTGTTGTTGAATAACTTCCTGAGAACTTCATGAACATGAAGTTTATCAGAGGATGAACACCAAAACATTTTGTTGAAGAGCTTAAATCTCCCCTATCTGTAGTCAAAGTTGCAGTGAGGATCAACAATGGAAGCACAACATGCAACACAAAAACATTCTAGGGTAAGTGTCAGGATAGTAGGCGAGGACTTTTAAAGGTTTATCATTGTAATGCTTGTTCTATTAGAAAAATAATAATGCCACGTAGTACTTGTCTCAGTTTTATTAGTAGGACTTCTTCAGCTGTTTCAGTCATATCTTACTATAACTTTGGGCTGAATACGGAAGGACTCAAAACTTCAGTAGTCACAGTTCTCCTTTAAGACCCAAAGAAATAACTTGCTTGGGATTAGCAGTGGGAGTACTTTTACTTATGTTGTGTATAACTTACTTCACTGTCCTCAACTCATAGAGCTGGCCCCACTGTGGATTGTCATCAAGTACTTGTTGAGTTCTGTCAAAGAAATTCAGAAAAACCTTGAGCTAAAACAAATGCCTGACATGGTCTGTAACAAAATTTTTTAAAGATTTATTTATTTGAGAGAGTGGGGGAGGGGCAGAGGGAGAGAATTTCAAGCAGACTCCAGCTGAACAGGGAACCCCACATGGGGCTCAATCCCAGGACCCTAAGATCATGACCTGAGCTGAAGTCACATCTTAACCGACCGAGCCACCCAGGCGCCCCCACATTTCTGTTTAATAAGGAAATATAAGGCCAAGATAATACACTACTGCCTGTTTGTGTGCTTTCTACTTACTACTATGTAGTACAAAACAGAACTTAAATATTAGCATGTGGTGTTCTGTCTCACACACAGTGTAAATATATCTACAAAGTGCATGGTTGGACTTGCATCGTTCTTATGAGAGAGGCTTCTGATATATTCAGATAATATAAAATACATGTATTTTTTCCTTTTTAGGCAAATCAATATTGTGTAGCAAAGAAGTCCCAGCACAAGACTTGAGAAGACTCTGTGAGAAGCTCAGAGGTATCGATTCTAACACTCCCAAATTAACAAGTGATATACAGGGACTTGCTTCTCGTGACCCAACTTTTTCCGAGAAGATTGACCGTAAAGCTTCTCACCTTATACAAACACCTCAAGCACAGCACTCAGGGAATTCCTTGTATAAAGGGGACATTAATGGTTGTGGGGGTAGTTTGAATACGGACACTACCAATTTAGAAGGCTGGAATGAGGTACCTGATGAAGCTTACGACCTGCTTGATAAACTTCTAGATCTAAATCCAGCTTCAAGAATAACAGCAGAAGAGGCTTTGCTGCACCCTTTTTTTAAAGATGTAAGCTTGTGATTATCGTTCTTCATGTAATGTTTGCTGTTTTGTGTTATGGGACGGGGTGAAAAAGAGTTCTTTGTAATAGCTGTAACTTCTTGATTGGAGACCAGGGCAAGCAGGATGAATAATTTATTTTAAAATTTTAGTATTTGCTCTTTGGCAGATTCTAAAATATGGATTACTTAAAATGCCTGGGATAGTTCTTTGGGCTAACTACGTGATCTTTGAGTTAGATCTACCCAAGTAGAATCAGATCTTTAGCTTCCCTAATTACTTGTCACTGCCATACACAGAAAAAGCAGCTGTTTCAGCCTAGTACATAGGAGTTTCAGGTGTAAGTCTTAAAATTGATGGATGTGATCAGGACTAAATGAGTCAAAAGATGTTAGTGGTTTCTTTAAACTGTGAGCTATGTCTGCTTCTGGAAAACTCAACCTGGTGCTGGTGCTCTAACCATTCTGTAGGTAAAGGAGATCATTTCCTCTTCTAGAGGCATATATTATACTTCCGAACACTAAAACAATTAATGAGAAAATGTTGGGGGTAATATCACTTAAAACTGAATTTATCCATTTTTCAAAGTATTTGTTAAAGCATATTTTGTGTGAATTGCCATGTTTTTCTTAATGGTTTCTCGATTTTTCCACTTTCTCTTTCCCCACCTAACACATTCTCCTTGGAAATAATATGGTGCTTTCCACAAAGTTTCTGGGGTCTTTGTTAACTATTGCATGTGTTTACAGTTGGGAACTCACTGCGTACACTGGTTGTTTAAAGGGAAGCTGCAGAGCCAAGGTGAATACTGAAGGTCCAAAATACTTTTCTTTTTCTCGCTGTCTTAGGTGTAATTAGGTAGCTGGCTAAAAGGAAAAATAAATACAACCTTGAGAATATTGTTGGAGATTTTTTTCCTCTGCATAGTGTCATCGGGATCTCTACATCCTGTTATAACTAAATGGGTCCTGCTCAGAGAAGGTTGATTACTAGAGTCTTGGGTGTGTTGGGAAGAGAGATGAGTGGGTAAAGTAGAAGAGGACCAGAGATGGAGGCTTATACATTACTACATTCCAAAATGATAAATATCATTGACAATATATCAAACTCTTTCTGTGGGAGGTAAGTCTAGGGGTATGGGTCTGCTGAGAAGTTTCCCGGTGAGTAGGTTAGTAGGGATACAGTATAGAAACAGCCTAGGGACATAAAACATACATTCTGTCACTTTGTGCATTCGAGTCGGTGTGTCTGCCCGCCCTATTTGGTAAGCATAGTATATACAGAAACCACCACCACTGACGGGCTCTGTCTTCTCATACCGTAAGCTTTAAAAACAACAAAACTTGAATGTTCTTGAATTTGTATGTTTAATAAAGTTATTCTTTTATATTTTTTATGTCCGACTACTCATTTGAAAAATACCCTTTAAAAAAAAGGTATTGATCACTGGAAATATTTTCCTTCTGAGATTGATGAATGCTCTCTCCAGCAAATAGTAGGCAGATGAACAAAAATTGACCTGGCTCAACACATATGTGAAAGATGGAAGCAGATTTTTGTTACAGAAAGGTGCTCATTGACCTCATCTATAGGAAATTTATAACATAGTAAAGCAGTAAGTCATCTCAGTAATGAAGTCTTAGCGAAAAAAAAAATGTCATGGTGTGATTTCACAATCAGGTTAACATATTCTAAGAAAATTAACAGGAAGAAAATTTAACTACCAAAAGTACAGGCAGGAGATGTTCTCAAAGTTTAATATTCAGGGTTGTTGTCAAGTTTTTGTTAATACCACAGTTAGAAGAGAACTTGGCTGATATGCAAGGGGAGGTAGGAGGTAAAGGGAGCCACTGTTTTAAAAGCCATCCAGTGATGTAAATTAGTTCTCAGGGAATTTCAATCCCACTAGAGAATGTTGGGTGCTATATAGATAGAAATTAGGTGCTTCCGTACGCATATTCAAGTTTTTCAGCCTTCTAAATAATGGCATATATCAGCCTAAAAGATTTTAGTCAAAATAGTCATTTTTAGGGAAAGATGAAGAAGGTAACTAGTTAATGCCATTTCCTATTATTATGGAAGTTCCCAGAATATTCAGCTATTTTTCATTGTCAGCTTTTTAAAATTCTTACTGCTCAGACTCTTGAGATAAAACTGTTAAGGGTGTTTTCATTTATAATAAGCCTTAGACATTCAGAACTATTAATATAACAAGCTTCAAGTATTGGTTTTCGAAACAGGCTGAAGCTCTGTAGCATTTTTAATGAAACTTTTCCTTATATGGAGATGATTATGGTTGTCTTAATGGCCTAAATAAAAATGTGGCTCAAGAATGATTATTCCAAAGAATTAAACTCTGTTTCAAAATCTGAACAAAAGTCATCAAGTGATGTTAATCTCATGTTTCTGGCATCAGCATTTTGGGAACAAAATGGTGTTACAGATGTCAGAATATTGATTGCGTAAAATCTTGAAATCCACAAGACATGTAGGCTTAGGTCTTAGTAATTTCTGCTGTTTATGTAATTTCAGCCCTGCGCGTCACCGAAAAGTTATTTATCTTAAGAAACTGTGGCCAAATTTGGCGGGTAATGCTGTCTGCCAGTGTCTGCAGATGTATTGTTTCCGCCTACATTGTGCGTGCTGTGGTCTTTAAAGAACACTACCTAACACTAGGCAGAAATGTCAACTCCCTGTTCAGATATTTTCCTTTGTTCTTAGAACTGAGGTTGCCATTTCCTAATTTTGTCAAATTTTGTGTTTGAACTGTCTTCCTTTCTTGAAAGGTGTACGTTATCACCCATGTAGTAGATAAGTAATCAGAAGTAGTTAATGCTGTGTCAAATTACAGTAAGATTTTCAACAAAGTAACCACAAAGGTCAGTGTTAAGGCAAATGTTTACTAAATAATGACATTTTAGATATTTGAAACGAAAAGGCTCTGATCTTAGGAAAGCAGTTGCAGGTTGGGTGAGAAAATTAAAAAAATGAAGTCAGAAAAGTGATGGCAAAATAGTTCAAGCTTAATGTGACCTGCTCAATTTTTTTTCGCAATAGAAGAAAATGAATTAAAAGAATTGCCCTTGACCACTGTTTTGAGTGCTTTTAAAAAATTAAAATAATGTCTGACAAAATCTTGAAAAAAAAAAGGTCTGGTAAGGAATTCAAAAGGTTAAGCAAAAATCTTATTGGGGGAGTGTGTACATAGCTTTTATAAGGCAAGGAAGATGACTAGAAAACAGTTGTAAACGGTTTAGAATTCTGATTTAAGCATGCACCATATGCAAATGCCCATTTAAATTTAACACACCATCCCAGCCCTTAAGTGGATTCCATCTTGGACCCTACTGAAGCAATTCTTCGAGGAGAGTAACAGTTTAGCGCTGGGAAATTTAATACTATCTTATGAAGGAAAATAGAGAATAACTTACAGATTCATCTCTAATTCTAGATGTAGAGAAGGCAAGTGTCACTTCCTCTAGTAAGAAACCAAGATGAACCGGGGCGCCTGGGTGGCTCAGTTGGTTAAGCAACTGCCTTCGGCTCAGGTCATGATCCTGGAGTCTCGGGATCGAGTCCCACAT